AAATTAATATTCTTAGATATCTAATAAATGATAATTAGTCTGCTTTCCTTCCCTACAGAGACAGATGGGAAAAAAATTTTTTTTAAGGAAAAAAGAATGAATACAGGATATCTATACAGACTGATTCTGCTAGTTACAACTCCCCGAAAAAAGATGATTCTGCTTATTTTCTGAAGGGGTTAAAAAACAGATGCCTTAAGGGACATCTATGTAGTTCCAACACATACCACACATACACACACACACATTTCACTGCAGATGATCTTGAATATATAATGGTCAGTGGGTTTCTGCTGATGGAACATAAGGCTTCCAAAATTACTTGAAACACCAAATTATGCTCAGGACTTGGAGGGGCGGATACCCTATGTTCTGTTTAATGTGTATGTTCCATTGCATATATTTTTTTAACCAAGTATATCTTTATTTTAATAACAGGCCAAGGACTAAAAACACTTTAGAGAAGGGCTGTTTTTCTACCTCAGCAAAACTACAGAAGAAATGCTAGATTGTTGGATGACCCTAAAGTCTAAGTTCACTCTATTTAAAAGAACTTAAACCTTAAAAAAAATAATAATAAAAAAAAAATGGTCAGGAGAGGTAACTACAGTCTTTTCTCTTCTGAAGCAATTATGAGTCCTTCTTACAAACATTATGGTGTTCATCTTTGGAAATGGAGTTTTCTCCATCTTTCCCATGTTGACAATTATATTTATAAATCCTTAAGTATTTCATACATTTCAATATAGAAATGTCTGCACTCTTGTATCTGCAGTTCTTTCAAAGAGCAAAATGTCTATTATTGTTAACATGGTGTCTACACCTGACTTGAACTACGCTTCTTCACTCTTAATCTAAAAGGAAATGTTCCACATGTAGACAATTAAACTAACTGATGTTGTAGACAATGTTCAGCTCTAAATGAGGCCCTGCCTGACAATCTTGATCACATTTGCTCCCCTATTTGAACACCTCAATGTATAATGCATAATGATTTTTTTCCCCTTGTAACAAGACAGTTAAGTTCTTGAAAGGGCTGCCTGGTAGCAAGCAGATGAGGTCTAGTGATCAGATAACTTCAACCTGCAGTTCTTTGATAACGTTAAATTGTTATTTTTTAAAAACAAATTATTTTTCAAAAATAAGCAATTGTTTTTCAAAAAAGCAGATATCTCTACAAGATATTCCCAATGTTTAAATATTTTCCCTAAAATCTAGAACATTTACACCTTCAAAAATCATAAAAATTCATAGGAAAATGAAAAATAACAAAAAGATTTCTGATGTTTAATGCCTCCTATCAGCAAATACACCATCTGGTCTATTCAAGCGCTGTTCATTCAGTTTAAATAAAGCTGTCTGAAAGTTCTTCTTTAAGCCAAACATTAAAAAGCGAAAATGCTTGTGTTAACAATGAATGAAGCAAATAATTTATCGCTATTAAAGCACAACTGGCCAGCACCTTCCAGCAATCCAAGAGGGAGGCAGAATGCCTGGTTTCCTCTGGAAACTTGATTGGCTTCACTTTCATCCTGGGCTGCAGGTTGTATGGCTGAAGCATTCCATGCAGCAAAGCACTGGAGATAACTTATGCTAATGCAGTAAAAAAGGATCATCTGATTCTTACTTTCATTATCCTTAATAATCTCATCTTTTTCTCAACCTTCAAACAGATCTACAAGTTTTAATCAACAATTTCACAAATATAAATTTCCCCACCATTAATCATCCTTTTTCAAATTCCTTATGGAGTGAATTACTAGCTGAGAGGGGACGCCAATTCTAGTAAGTGAATGTTACCCAGCAGGGATATAAAGCTGTCAACACCACGGTGCTCTTGCCTGCTCTAAACATTCTCCCAGCCTTCATATGTTTTTTAAAGAGATATAAGCCTTTTTTTTTTCCTGAGGACCTTCTATAAAAGCTGAATGTCATTCACATCTGAGCACTTACATTTTACTACATACATGCTTTAAAACACAGCTTAAATAAGAGCAAAACATCCTAGTAAGTGTTAGAAAGACAAAGCAAAACTGATCTAGTTTCTGATAGAGCCTTCTGAAGCTAACCACATTGTAAACAATGCACTAACTTTAAGTTTCCTTTTAAAACACAACCTTGGTGACTGTGGTAGAGTGTCTACCACCTTTACCAGTAAAATCCAAGCACTAAAATCATGTTCCCCCTTTTTATAATAAATATTTGGTTCTCATTAAAAATTTTAAAAACTCCCTTTTCTTTTCCTAAAAAATTTGAATAATAGCAACATAATTTACCATTGCAACCAATGTATTAAAAACATTTATCTATCTCACTGCTTATCAAAAATGGTAAGATAAATTGCTATTTTATCTAGCAGCCAATTAACTTAATGATTTCTCCTATTTGTATGGGGAGAGTTTTTTAAAAAGAAGAACACTAAAGATTAACACATATGAGCTATCAAATTTTGAGCTCTGTTCTTAAAACATTTTATACCCATTTTATGACATAGATAAGACTGAAATATATCTGAAAATGATAATAAATGATGAAGAGTTATAAATATTTTATAGTTATCCATGCTTATTATATTGCTTATTAAAATTTTTAAACAAAAGGATGTAGAGTGGTAGAAATTAAATCTATTTCATATTTACCCCACGTTAAAGAAAGACTTTCAATTAGAAAGTACCTCTAACTAGGAATTTATTTAAACAGTTTTTAAAATTTAGAATGTGCATTTTTAAAAAGGATTGGCTTTACTCCAGTCTATATAGATGATTAAAAGTTACAAAGAAATTAAATTATTAACATCTTAATGTACATTTGGAAACTATATAAACTTAAACCCACAAAATAATTATTAACATTCAATGAGAAAGCTTTGTACTATCAAAATTTTATATTCTAAGTTATCATATTTTAAAGTTGTCTAAATTAATCTCTTTCAATACTACATAGAATAAAAGCTTTCTTTTAAAATCTTGTTTTAAAAAATCCTTTAAAAATCTTCCACATGTAAACTATTCTAATCAGTTTACTAATAAGTATTACAAATTGTATGAACTAAGACTAAATAAGTAAATGTTTATTTTCAGTTTGGGAACCTTCAATATTACTAAATTATGTTAAAACCTCAGAAAAGGTGACTAAAGCAGCTTATTGAAACAAATGTTATTATTTTTCATGAAGACAAAAATTTTAGTTTGTATCAGATTCACAATATCTGGTCTAATATAAATTATAGTTTCAAAAAATTCAAAAAGCAGTCACTATTTAACACCAAAGTTACCTCTGGTCAGTAAAAAGAGGCAGTTTCTTTCACAGTCAAATATGATATAAAAGGGGGAAAAGCAACCTTAATTTATGGACGCACAATTGGTAATAATTACATTTTAAAATGTTGACAGACTTCTTTGTATTTAGTGAATTCTGCTAGGTTTCACAAACACTGAAATTTTAAGTCCAAAGATGTTTTACACAGACGGGGCACTTTCAGAATATACTGCCTTCAAGAATTTCTGAAAAATTTTCAAACAAAATCAGCACTTACCATCTTGCATTTAGTTCTACCATATTCATTATATATTTTTGTTCATTATATGCATATGAATGATTTATATGAAAAGACCAAGATTGTGGCTTCAGCCTCAGGACAACACAATAATAAAACTCCACTCTTGAAAAGTGGATCACAAAACTACCAAGTTTTTTTCTGCTTCATTAAAAGTATATTTTCACAGCTCCAAAAGGGAAGATTTATAAGCCACTCTCTAGAACCTAATATATTTTTTTAAAACTTTGAAAATTGGGAGAATGAATGCTTCTCAAGGGACGTGATTAGTATAAAGAATTAAGACAAACCATGCTGAACATCTACCACAAATAAATATCAAAATAAGTTTTTAAAATGTCACTTTATAAAATGTATGCTTTTAACTCTCTAAAAGGGAATGGACATTGCAACCTAAGTATCTTACTTCAAAACACACATCAGGGACACGAAGAACATGGTGGTGGCAGCTTATCACTCAGTTTTGCCAGGGTTTTGTATTGTTTTAGGCCGCCCAATAACCAAGAATTATATTAAATAAGATACTGTTGAAATATTAGGTGGAAAAACCTAGATGTAAAATATTTAAAGGCATATTATCCCAAACCCAAATGCACAAAAATGTACCATGTAGAACAGTGCATTTTATATATAAAAGACAACTAAGCAACTGGCATATAAACCCTCCAAAATATTTTAATGTTTAAATTTAGTTTTATTTTTTCAGATTACTTTTACCAATCACTTTTAAAGAAAGTAGCTGTTTAAGTAGTAAAAACAACAAAAGACTTTCTTTAAATAATATTAAATTATTGGGAGAGGAAATAGCAGGTGGCTAACAATGTTACCTTGCTATTTTCCTCTGTTCTTTAATTCATAATAAAATTACAAATGCCTGCGTCTAAACTTTACAGACTACGGTAGCATTAAAGCTTCTAAGGGCCTGACAGATCCATGGTGATTCTTTATTTCTCACTTGAAATTAGGTAGGATATAGCCCCAGTTGCCAACTCATTCATCTTAAAGCACTGTCATAACTACAAAGTAACACCAAAGCTTGTTTCTGTACTAGCCTGAGCATTAACAACTATCCCATCAAAGCCATCGCACCTAAACTTCGTCCCTCCAACAGATAGTCTGAGGCAAGGCAAAAGAATTAAATCACTAAAAAGCTCTCTAGGAAATTCTAGAAACAGTTAGCTGGCTGTGACATAAACCTGCCAACACCTCAGCACACAGTGGCAAAGTGCCCAAAAAATGCCACCCTCTGGGTAAACCACTTTCTTGTTTTAACTCGAGATGAAGCTACCAGTTGCAGAGAGGCGACTAGGGCATTATTTGGCAACCTGGAATTGACTTCCTGTAATCCTACACCGAAACAGCGCCTAATCAACCTGAACCCTGACACCCGGGCCATTATCACTGGGCCGCGGGCTGCGCGCGCCTCCCTGCTCCAGGCTGTTACCTCCCACGGCCTTGGCCACTGCGCCGTTGGGCCTCCCGCGGGCTCCCATGGGGCTGCCGTTCTGCTCCAGTCGGGCCACCTTCACCGGGGGAGGCCCCTTGACGTCGGGGCTGCCGCTCCGCCGGTCGGGGCTGTCCCGCAGACACGGGCTCTCGCTCCGCCGCTCCATGCTGCTCCGATTCGGAGACAAAGTTCCCACCGGCAGGTCGCAATAAAACGCGCAGGGACCTAGGGAGGGGGCGGAGGGGAGGGAAGGGGGAGGGAAAAAAAGAGGGAAAACCGCTCACACACGTGATAGACGTTCAGGCCAGTGGCAGAGCGCTGCACCACAGCCACACAAACTTCCTCCCACGCCGCCCGAGGGGCCCAAGGCTGGAAGCAAGTCCAACCTTACCCTGGGCGGCCCAAAAGAAGCCCAGAGCTTGGGGTGCTGCGACCCTGCCCAGTCGGGGCTTCACTAAGAGTTAGCCCTCGATGGAGCGGCTAGACTAGGCGCCCCTAGACGCCTAGGAGCCCATGGACGCCTAGGAATGGACCATTCATTAGGGCAGGGTTGGTATAAACCGTTCCGAGGTACCACAGCCTCGCCGTCTGGGGGTCAGGGTTGCAGAAGAAGACAACTTTAAAAAAAGGGGGTTCACCCACTCCTGGACAGAGCGGGGGTGTACCCAAGTCCATAACCAAATGAATCCTTGGTAAATATGTTAAAAATGGCCAAAGGCCAGGTAAAAAGGACACTTGAATACTCACTTTGTACCTTTACGGAGCATATTTTCTTTTTCTCTCCTCTCTCTCTCTCTCTCTCTCTCTCTCTCTCTCTCTCTCACACACACACACACACACACACAGAGACACACACACAGAGACACAAACACTCTGCATAATATTAACCCTAACTCCATATTAATACGCATCCCAAAACACTCGGAGGTATTTATAAGAATAACCTCCATCACAAAAGCGGAGACTACAATCGTTAATATTTTGGAGCGTTCTTATCTTCATCTGATCCTAAATGCTTTTATAAAGCTCTTCAGCATAAAACACCAGAGCAAAAATCATGTACATCCTTAGGTGCAGGAGCAGCCTTTATCAACTCCAATTTTAAAATCACTTCAGAAAGTTTTCTCTGGGTCCTTTGGCGGTCAGCGCACTCCTTACAGAAGTCGCAGGTCTCGGCACCCCTGAACTGGGGTGGGGTGGGGGCAAGAAAGGAGGAGAAACACCTGATGAAACAACGCTCGCACTGTCGCTGACACCCGGGAGAAGCAGAAACCCGGCACAACACAGAGCGGTGGGAATCCTCGCGGGCGCGTTGGCCGCGGGAGAGGCCGCGTAGCCGCGGGTCAAGGAGACAAGGTGGGGGTGGCAAAGAGAAGGAGGAAAAGAAGGATGTAAGAGATGCAAAGAGGGAGAGAAAGGGTTGCGGCTGAGGGTTCCACGGCACTTCCTGGCATCTCTGTCCAGAGGAGTGAGAACGGCAAGGAAAGAACTTAGCCAGCCCGGGGCTTCCCCGAACTCCCGAGCACCGCGCGGGAGCCCTCGCACTGCGTACTTACTGCTCACGGTCTGTCTGAAACTTGGCTGGCTGGGGCTCTGTCCATGGAGCAAAAGTAGAGAATCCAGGGTGGAAAGTTTCTGGTGCTTTTCTTTGCAGTGTTCTCCTAGTCTTCCTTTCTCTTTACTCCTTTCCTTTTCCTCTTCCCCGGGTCCTAACGTTTAAGGTCCTGGGTCAGGGTGTCTTCTTCTGGTGCGGAGATGGTTGTTATGATGATGATTGGGGGGGGGGGGGGGGAGGGGGAGGAGGAGAGGGAAAGGAGGACTCCTCCAAAGGGGCACCCGAGCGAGCGGGGGAGGGGACGGCGGAGGAGGGGGGAAGAGAGGAGGCTGAAAGAGCCTTTCACACCTTCGGGAAGTAGACCGATTCTGGAGAGAAAGGGCTGAGAACTGGAAGCCGCCGGAGGCGGCAGCGGCAACGGCGGCGGGTTCGCAGTGCCCCTAGCTCGCGAGGAGGAGCGGCCAGAGCCGTGGGGCCGGTGCCACCAAAAGCCGAGAAGGCGCAGGGACCCGGGACGGCACGCAGAAGAAAATGCGGCTGCCGCCCAAGCTGTCACCTCCAGCCTCTCCCCTCTCGGCCGCCTCTGCCAGCAGCCAGAGCCGGACTCACTGACAAGCCGCAGAGAGAGACACACTGAGAGGGAGATGATTATTAGTTGCGTTGAGTCATCAGGCAAAGTGAGTCCTTTTGGGTTGTCCTCGGTTTCCGATTTCTCCCCCTCCCCCTTTCCGTCCCCAGATCTAGCGCCTTCAAAATAATAATTTGGGGTGGGGGTAGGGGAAGTCTCTGGGTTATTTCGGGATGAGAATGGGGGGGACGGATCTAAACCCAAGCCAGACTGGTCCACCGCAATGGAGGAGGGGAGAGGGGGGCGGGGAGGAGGGCTGGGGAGGTTGCGAGGGGAGGGGGGCCCCGCCTGGCAGGAAATTAAACATCAATCAATCAATCGCTGTGAGCAAGGCGACCCAACGGCGGCAGGGCTGCGGAGGAGGCAGAGGGACAGGAGAGGGGGTGGGTGAAAGGCTGGGAGGAAAGGAGGAGGAAGGAGAGAGTCGGCGGTGGGAGCAGGGTGGCAAGGACCTCGTGCGCGGGGCGGCGGAGAAACGAAGGCAGAGGACCGATTGCGGCGCGAGGCGAGGGCCTTAGCCGGCGGGTGGGTGCGTCTGAGTGCTGGCGGGCGCCAGGGCCCGGGGTCTAGTCCTCCTCCTTGTGGCGGGTCCAGGGCGCGGCCGCCTCGCCCAGCCCCTAGGCGCACTGGTCCCCGCGCGGAGGCGGAGGCGACCAGGCGGACGCTGGATGCCCAGTCTCCCGGCACAGAGGCGCAGACCGATGCGTAAGAGGCGGCAGCAGCTGCCTCGGCTCCCGGCTCTGTTAACTGCGCGGAGTACTTTCGACTTTGGAGATAGGAGGGCGATCGCCTCCCCCACCCACCGCCTCCGCCCACCACCCACCGCCTCCGCCCCTCCGAGCAACTTTTCCCGGTGCCTGTGAGCTCCCCCTCCGCGCAGAGCCGACGGTCCGGGCCCGCTGCGCTCCGTGCCTCCGCGCGCTCAGGGAAGGCCGCTTCTCCCTCAGAGGTGGCACGGCCGTGGGTCCAGAACAATAGCCCGGGTGTCCCGAATGGCAGGAGCAAGGCCACCGCCTGCCGGGCTGTGGGTGGCACAGAAGAGGGGGTTGCATCGTGGGCGCAGGGCGGGGTGCATCCCTGGATGGCATCCCTGGAGCGCTCGCAGCGCCGGCGACACCGCGAGCTGCGCAGCTCAGGCCGCCTGGAGGCCGTGAAGCGACGACTGCAACTGCAGTGGGGCTGCCTGTCCTCGGGCTGCGGGACTGGGGCTCTTGGAGACCCCAAGCTGTTCGGGCCCTGAGCTTCGAGCTCGTGGAGGGGTGTGCGGTGAGAACCCAGCCTCCCTGCCTAGAGAGAGGCCGCGCAGGAGCTTCCCTAGCAGGTCCGCGAAGGCGTAACAGAGGCACAAACTTTTGCCGACTCCCGCGGCCGCGGCCGCCGGCTGCCGGGCTCCAGTCGTGCTGCACATTTAAGGTGGAGCGGGCACTAGCCGAACAGGCTGGACTCTGGGCCGCGCTTTTGTCCCTGACGTCCCGCTTGGACGCGGGACTTCCTTAAGAAAAAGCACGTGGGCAGGGGCCCTAGCCCCCGCGAGACGCCTGGGGCGTCGGTGGACACTAGACGCTGGGACCTTGGGGGAGAAAATGTGAACACGTCTCAGGAGGTCTTGAAGCCAGAAAAGCCCCTTTAGCTGGCTGCGCCTCTTGTCTCTCCTTCACACTTTGACTGTCCCCTCCTAATCCCCAGGACCCCAAGGACTCTCCCACAGCTAGTTGCTCGAGCCGCAAGTCCCCCTTAAGAAGCGCTGACTGTACGGCGGCGCCAGAGGGCCAAACTAAATTCTGTTTCGGAAAACGCGCTCGGGGGCAATTATGGAAATTCGGGACTTGGGAAGGGACAGCTGAACGCTGCGTCCGCCGATTATGCCTGGGACCAGGCCGCTGTCCAGTCGCGGCACAAACTCTCCCTACTGACGATGAGTGGTGCGTTCAAAGTCTAGGAGGCGATGTTTGAGGGGCTCTAGAAGAAAAAGGGTCCCAGAAACGAAACCTGTCCCCAGCCTGAGTCTGGGTGCTAAATCCCAGTGAATTCTGCACCCAGGAGCCTCCCACCAAGTTCCAAAGAAGCAAGAGGCGACCCGAGTGGCGATCCGACCCCAGATGAGAATGAAAGCAAACATTAGGGGAGCCTGAGCCCAGGGAGTTTTAGGCATCTCTTTTCTTTTCCCTGTCCCCCCCTCCCCAAACTCCATCCTCCCCACCCCCACCCCCAGTCAAAAGAGACAGAGAAAATGCAGAATTCGAAGTCGGTGAGAGCAAAGTGGTTCAAGTTAATCAACCCGTGATGGTAGCTAAAAGATTTTTGGCAGCAAAGAAACAAACTGTAAGTTTGATCAGCAAACTTTTTTAAAAATCTTATATCGTGTCGAAATGAGAAGGGGGTGTTGCAAAAACTAACTACCACTGTCAAACTTATCCGGTTTCCAAAATGGGGAAAGGCGTTATTTCTTACTAATATCTTAACAATGATAGTGACGCCGTTTCCTTCCTTACCTGCTGTTGGAACTGCGGAATCCACCTCCGGATCAATGTCCAGGAACTCTGAAGAATTGATGATATTAGGACTTGAGTACTTCTGGGGGGAAAAAATGCAAATCGTTTAGCCAGGATCTTTTCTGTCTGATTCGTCACTATTATTATATCTGATGATGCGAATGGTTGGAACGATTCGATCCTAAGTCATTAATGAGCTATTTTATAAACACCACTGTCTGAAGATCTTCATTTACATTTCGCTAAGGATCACTTCACTAACCTCACAAGCTTGTGTCAACAGCAAGATTACGGGGACTTTAGTTACACTCTTATAAACAACACGGCCGTATTGTTAATCAGTTAATATTTTATAAAGTGTAAATATTTTATTATGTTATGAAGGGAACTATTGATTCTAAATTATTAAACCCCCAAGAAGGGTTATTTAAATAAACTACACAATTAAGTACAATTAAATATACATCATGGCTACATTCTGAACCCTAGTAAATTAATTGATTGTTCTTGTCCATTTTTTATAGTGAAAAAGAAATCTATCATTTTGGGCAAAAAAAAAATTGCTTAAAATTACATTTAAAAAATAAATGAAAATGCATTTAACATACAGGAAACTGTGAAATTCGATGAATTATTACCAGAAATGTATTTTGAATGTTTGTAGAGTTATGTTTAGTAACATGTTTTACAAATTTCTTTCGATTTTAAAAAAGGAAATCTAGGGAGTTTTGCGATGTATGCCGGGTCTGAGGTTTTTTTTCCCCTTCAGTTTTGTCCCTAATAAAGGCCTTTTCTGTTTAAAATTACATATGCTTTCTTCTGCACAATTTTTGTATTGACCTTATTTCAACTAAAGTAAGCAGTTATTTCCAGCATGTTTAATTTCTCCAAGAAGACATATTTTAAATAACACTTTTTATTTTTCACTAGGGTTTTCTGCTTTTTAGAACAATAAATAAATTCGATGATTATTCAAAATTTTGCTTGGTTTCGGTTTTATTCCTCTACATGGTTTATTTCCAAACCTTAAACAAAATCACACTCCAAAAAAAAAAAGAGAGAGAGAGAATTATTATGTTTGTCTTTTTTTTTTTTTTTTTTTAATATCTCTACCCAAAACTCACTTTTGCATGTTGCTTAGTATTCAAAACATGAAGTTCATCTTTGGGAGATATTTTTATCCCTGTTTGCTTTTCACTGACATTTTTGTAGGGAATCTGCTCCGACTTTTCCGTCATCCCCCGCCCCCTTTTAATTCCCCCTTAGGTCAGTTGGTTAGTCAAAGGTCGCCAGTCTTTCATAATCACACTGAGATATGTTATTTTAGAAATCAACGAATCTTTATATGCTGGGATTAAATGTGCATGGTTTTTCTTCTTTCCATCTTCTCTCCCTTTTGCTCTCTCTCTCTCTCTCATCCAGCCTTTCCTTTCCTTTCTCTCTTGGACTGCACTTTTAATGACATTATTTGATTGCTCTTTGTCTACACTGAGGTTGTTACAGTGCGGGCTTTCCACCCAGGTCAGCCTTCCTTCTTAGATGCCGGCTCTTGGCCGCCTAGGCCCGACAGGCTGAGCATAGGATACAGAGGGCCCTGTGCGGGTCTTCAGCTCTCCGCTGAGCTGTCCCAGCCTCTGAAGGCCCAACATTCATCCCCAGCTTTCGAACTTGGTCACTCAGGCAAAGAGGCCCTCCAAGCAGTGCGCTGCCTCTTAGAAAGCACCCGAAAGTTATGCTGTGTTCTCCTTCCACCGAGAGAAACAACTCCAAGAGATTCTGCCAGCGTCGAAAGCCTTCGACGGCTTCTAGGAACCAAAAAGGGCCTGCCTCTTCCCCTGAGCTTGTCCTTCTGGGGGCGGGAGGAGGGCGGGAGAGAATCATTTCTTTCAAACGAAGCCCACGCCAGCTCTAAAGCCAATTTCCGCCGCGTACTGTCTGTGGAGAGAGTTAGGCGACCAACACTTTCCGGACAGCATACCCGCGCAGAGTTTAGACTGGAAATCCAATGCACCAAGAGGACAAGGGCTGGGGGCCAGAACACCGAGGGGAACGCGCCTTGAAGGGCAAGTTGACCAGGATGGGCTCCAGCCCTTTCCCAGA